GAGAGAGAGAGAGAGAGAGAGAGAGAGAGAGAGAGAGAGAGAGAGATGGAAAACAGCTCAAACTAATTGCTGATTAATTCACCACTAGAATTTTTATGTTTATAATATAATGTTTTAGTCCAGTGAAAATACCAAAAAATTACATTTAAGACATCTGACAACTTGATGGAAAAACTCCAAACACGAGGTGTGTGGCTTTACAGGAGGGTGGTAATTAGCCTTCGGACAGAGCCAGGCTAGCTGTTACCCCTTGCTTCTAGGCTTTATGCTAAGCTAAGCTAATCGTGTCCTGGCTGAAGCTGAATATTGACTGCACAGACATGAGAATGGGATTGAGTTTCTCATCTAACCTTCGGCAAGAATGTGAATAAGTGTACTTCCCAAAACTATTGTGTGATTCCAACAACAACGTACGCGTAGTTCACATGATCTAGATTCACTGGAGGGCCACGCATTCAGTCCTTATTGTGTAACAAAATCTAAAAAGAAAGCTCACAGTGGGACATCCACAAACACGTTTCTCTTCATAAGCTCTCTCAATTGTATCGCCATCGTGTCCTCTTGTCTTTGTGCAAAACGTTCGTGGCCACATACTGTGCGAGTAGGATTATTCTGCCGCTGACTGTGCATCTCCCTCGGGCCAAGCCTATGAACCGCGGGTGAATGTGCAGAGTAAAAATGATAACACTTGCAGAAACTGTGAGTAACAAATGTCAGATGCTATTGCCTGAGTGTCCCCAATCAATCTCACTCACTAATGTGACTGGGATTCTTCTGCCCACTAATTGGACATTGTGCCCGTTGTTGGAGTCTAATTAGCTAAGTAGCAGGAAGTTATTTCTATTCTATTCTCAAAATTATAACGCTCTTCAAATTAAAAATGTGAATGAAAGTGTGTATTTGAAACTCAAGTATTAAGTTATTTTTTTTTTTTTTTAGAGATGCCAAATTTATAGCAAACTGCTCCATATTCCAAAGAAAGATGATATATTTGTGCAAATAATTTGAGTAATGTCTCACCAGTTCTCTCCTCAGCCAACTGAGAGCTTCATCAATGTTCTCAAATCCTTTCAGAACACCTGACTTGCACTGAATCACATCAGACTTCATGACAGTCTCTGTGGGGCTGACTACGTTCCCCTCAGGCTCCACTTGGATCGGGGATTTTACACTACTTGATTCCCCGAAGCTTTCCGCCTCAAGGCGGGCTTTCCACTCCAGGTAGGAAGGCCTCCTGGTTTCCAGTCTCAGCTTCTCTGTCAACGCCTTCAAGTTCATGAGATGGTCGTCTGTAGGCAAATCCACGTCTCCCCCACATTCTGCTCCCGCCGGGACTGCGTTCTTCTCCACAATAATCTGAGGAGCCGAGGGAGTAGCCATCACTAATCTGATAAATAAAAAAAGCTGTGTCAAAATAAAAATAGATAACGATATCTGCTTTTCATTGGTGGCCTCTTTCGTTGTGACAAATGACCATTGTTGTAGGTTTTACTGTCAGGAAAGTCAATCTTTAGAAGTGCCTTGTTTCTCCTTTGGTGCTTTGAAGGCCGAGCATCTTTAGATCTGCAGAGGAGAGAAGAAGCACGCTGTGAAACATTTGCTGACTCCACCACTAACCACATCCAACCGACAGAGAGACAAAACGAATGTGACATTTGACATGCAAGACTGCACCTCAGCTGTGGCCAGACAGGTTCCGTTATATGACTGGCTAGACTATATATCTCAGACAGATTGATGAGCGTTCTTACCCTCTGGAAAGATCGAGCATTTTGGCTTCTAACATATCAAATAATTCTCAGCACACTGCGGGAACGTACATCCAGGATTTTTGTTTGACAGGAACAAATTGTTTCCCTAGCAACGACACAGGCACTGGATATGAGTCAGCCCTTTAACACCTCCTATCCTCAGGGCTTTATTGCCTTAAACAACCTGTGACAGACAACTGGCAGTACGGCACAACGGCTGACAGTCTTGCTCTTTTCCAGCAATCCTTCTATTGACAGCTATAAACCTATGCAACAAATACATGTTTCAAAAACTACAGATCCTGAACATTGTGGGCATATTTAACTCTTCATGAGACATGGGTAGGGTCAGTTGCTGTAAAGTAAGGCTTTATTTAGGCACAGCATGTGCTTTTGACTGAATGCTAACATCAACATGCTAACAATGACAATGCTAAACATGGTCACCATCTTAGTTTATTTTGTTAGCATGCTAACATTTGCTATTTAGCGGAAACAATAGTTCTGCAGGTATTTGTCCATAAACCAAAGTTGTTATTTCAAGATACGTAACCAGAAATCTAAATTTCACACTTTTCATCTAAAATGATTTAGATATATCCATCCAATAGTTAACATATTTTAGTCTGGACCAAAGTGGTGGACCCGCCATCCATAAAAGCCATCCACCGTCGCAAAAAATGTATATATAACATAATATTTTTAAAGGAACCTGGATTTCTATCATGCTATACATCCACACACAATTACATCTAGCTACACCTCAAAATATGGCATCCAAATATCTCTTTTTAAGTATCTTCTTATCTGGCCAGTTTAGAAACACTGGAGTGATTCTGGAGGCCCAAAGGAAAGACTAACTCAGGACATTAAGCCACAAAGGAAATCTTAAATGTGGCCTCTTAAAGGATTAAGCAAACACACACTCATAACAGCAGCAGCAAAAGCAGACTTTCTGCCCAGTGTCCTCCTTTCTACAAAGTCTCCAAGCACTCAGTAAGTGGTTAGTGCTCAGTTATTCCATAATGGGCACAGCAGACCAGCAGTGAAGTCATTGCCCTTGTATCTAATGATAGGCTTGTAAAATAGACCTCTGACTGTGAAGAGTAGCTGCTGTAATGCATGAAGGCCACGGGAATGGATCTTCTCCTTATTCTGGAATCTGTGTGTGTCTCTGGAGACCACAATGTTACAGGGGACCAATAGAGGAGGAGGAAAATAAACCCATGCCACGTGCAGGAGTTTGTTAGGACCCTGTATGTACAGTAAGGAATTGATTCAAATTGTGAAAAGAAACTGCAGAGCCAAGAGGTTTAGAAAGAGGGGGGAGGAAACGTGTGTGTAAGCATATTAGCTTATATATTGAGCTGTGATCACAATCATAAAGACATAAAGGGTTTAGCAAAAAACCCAAACCAGCCTCTTGTTGGCTGCTCGATCATTTAAGAGGCACTTTTGGGGAACACGGCCACTTTTGAATAGTCCAGCTGAAAGATATTTGTCTTAAGGAAGCCAAAATATACATCCTGAATATCAAACGGAGTCTTGCGCATATACAAACAAGGACAAATCTTGGTGGAAAAAAGCATTTATCGCCATTATCCAAATGACTCAACTGGCAACCAACCCACCCAGCATTACCCGTACATTCCTCTGGTTTTGAGGCGGCAGAATATGATGGCTCAGCAACATGCATGTTGCAGCGTTACCGCACCAATAAAAATGTATTTTGTGGTGTTGTTATGGGATGCCAAAACCTGGTCAGGCTGAAGAACTTCAGGAGTCTGGCTCTCTCATCGGGCACATGTCTGCAAAGGGCAGAGTAACTAATCAGGCTTTAGTGTGCATCTCATATAAAGGTGTTAACTTTCCATCAGTGCTGGTATACATGAGAATGTGAGCATTATCCATATGGATCAACAGGATTACAGCAGGTGACTCAAAGTCAATTTAAATAAGAGATTAATAAACTTTTTTTTAAAGTTATGGATACTGTGTTCTTTGTTACCATCACACATGATTCCTTCTGCCATTATTACAATAACCTGAAGTTAAACAGCTCTTATTACTATAATGCAACCTGAAACTTCGCATGCCTGCATAGCTTTATGGAATGGCATTTTTTTCTCTTTAATATATTGTTATGGGCAAAAAAACATCAACATTACAGTATATCTGCTTTCTCTCGAGTCCTGACATTAACATAAAACTTGAATATTTTATTCCTTCCCGAGCCCATCAAGGAGTGACGTCGGAATATAAAGTCGTGGTCAACTTGACTAATTATTCTCATTTTGTTCATGCAAGTCAGGTTTTTTTTCAGTAAAAGGCAACATGTAGCAACTTGTCATTGTTTTCCTCATTATATATAGCCTTGCATCATTCCTGTAAACAAATTATACAATGCTATGGCTACAGTATAATACCAAGTAATTTACTCGTTCGCATTGTTTTTCACGTGGACACTCATTTTAACCTCGTTTTGCTTTTCTGACACCGTGCTGCAGGGTGAGACACCACCGGCATCCTCTTAAAATACGGTAATTCTAACTGCGTGTGGCTCGTTTACCTTGTAAGAATCCTCCTGCTGCGGTCCAACTTGCAGTTTAAGCAGCGACATCAGCGCAGACCATCTCGAGCCCCCTCTCTCTCTCTCTCATCCCTAGCAGCTCCACGGTCCACTTGTTTTTGAGCAGAGAGCTGCCGGAGGGAGGGGCGGGAGGGTTCTGGTGTCTTGGAGACGTCCTAGGAATCCCTATCAGACTTCCCGCCGCATTAACACTGTAATGTGTTCTTTTCTGTGTTCCGTATTCTGCGTTCTGTTACGCAAGTGCGCCACAGTTCTGATGACAGCACAACAGCTTCACTCTTACTTTCATTTATTTTAATTCAATGAAATACAACAAATACAGTTTTTGTAACAATGCAATTAGTACAAAATGTGAAAAAAAGTCGATACATAAATACAGACCGATTAACATCAAAGTCGTCATCTGTTACACGTGAGTTAGTAAAACACATTTTGCCAGAATAAATACAAAGAGCTCTTCAAAAACGTGTCAAAATGTACATGTGATATTATTCCTTTCTATTAAGTATCAATTTTACAGCTTATACCAATGCAGTGTGTGCGCCACATTAAGAGTTGTACGTCGTAATGTACGTCTATAAGAACTTAAATAAATAAAGAGCATTTCTTCTGTCCACATCAGTATAGCTTGTCGCTTCTACTACAGCAACAGGTGATTTGTATTAGTGCTGATTGCTTGCTGGAGCGTAGCGCTGCCATCACATAAGTAATATCAGGGCAGGGGACAAGGGCCCCCAACTGGAAATATATCTACATTTACTGTTTTACAATATCTTCAAGTCAGGTAAATCAAATAGAAACTTGTTTTCTCTCTTAAAACACAATATTGAATTGATTGATTCAATATGACAACTGCACTAACTGTCATTGAGCTTCTATTAATTATCAATCATTCGATTATAGGAAATAAAAAATGTTCTATGGGGTCAATGACATCTTCCTTTTAATGGGAGAGTTTATCAGTATTAATATAAAATTGGTAGAATTGTAAAAAACAGCATTGTATGATATCATATAGTTAGTCAGACATCGAGGAGGCAGTCTAAACATGACTGTCATATTGCTTACTGGTAAACTCTTATGGCATGGACTCTAACATAACTCAAAAATGACTGCACAATCAAATGTGTCCAAATAAAGATACACAGGGAATTGTAGGATCCCACACCAAAAAAAAAACAATAACAGCAACTATTACAACAGAATATGGCAAAGCGCCAACATGTGAAACGCAAAGAAAGGTGATTTGCAGCCCAAAGTCTGTCATTGTGAGTCTACTGCCTGTGTTTTGGTTTGTGTTTGTTTAAAGAACAATTATTCTAGCTGCAGAGATTCTGTATGCTGTAAACCAGAAAAAGCCATCGTCTCCACAGTAAGTACAAGTGCAAACAGCGTTAAAATAGAACAAAGGGTCAACAATCCTATATTAGCAATTTATACACCTGAATGCTTGACGATCACTTCAAATCTACATGAAACATTATAAACGAGTTAAATGACTTATCCGGTATTTTAGAAACGTATTTACTTCTCTGCTTGGTTCTGTTGATAGTGTTGACATTTGTATTGGGAAATCAGTAGTGTTCAGACTTTAATTTACTGACCCTGTTCATCATTCAATCTCTTTTATTTCATAAAGTAAGTTCCTCTATGTCATCATCGAATGAGGCGATGGCACGAATTGTAGGCCTGCTCTCTGTGACGTGAAGGGTGTTGAGGGAGGATGCTGGAGGAGTGGAAGACCCCGAGTTGAAGCTGAGCAGTCCTTCCCGTCTTGATCGCACTCCATTGGTAGTCGGAGGACTGTTGAGCACCTCCATTTGATTGGAGGTGCTCCCACTGTCACCCACGGGTGTTGCCAGGGCACCAAATAGCTGCTGCATGAGGCTGGACTTCCTCTCCTTCCCCGCTCCTCTTTCCGTCTCCTTCTCTGTCTCTGTCTCCACCCCTCTGAGACTAAACACACCTATTGCCTCCAATGCAGAGTCCCTGTCCTCTTTGGGCGGAGGCGGGGGGAAGCCGGAGGAGCCGCGAGAGGCTGAATGTCCGAAAGAAGGCGCGTAGCTTCCGAATGCCAAGTCGTCCCCGGAGATTTGTGTCCGCGGAGCTCTCTTCCCCGTCCCTGTTGTGGCAGCTCTACCATGCGTGCCTGATCTTCTCCTTCCGCCTTCACCGCTCAAACTGGCTGACTCCTCTGATTCTGCGAGGTTAAAAATGGAAGAGGTGTGGTTCCTCTGCTCAGGAAGACGAGGAGAAGAATGGTTACTGGGAGCCTTATTGAACTCAGAAGGACTAGACTCAGCAAACATGGTGTCCTGGCCTCCGTGTTCTTGGCGGTCTATTTCACGCATCTTAGCCAGCAGCTGTTCTTTTTTGCGACGTGCTTCTTCTGCTGCTTGCTGATTGGACATAGTCCCCTGGTTCCACCTCTCCACCTCTTCCTGGACATGGCCGCGCTTCCTGTTGTCCTCTTCCTCCTGGTTCAACAGGGAACTTCCTGTCGTCCTCCTACTGTCGTCTTGCTCTTTTTTTTTTCTCCCCGCCTGTGGACATAAAACAAATCTATTAGCACATTACTGCTTTCTCGTACTTGTTGTACACACACTGTTTAATGATCTTACCATCTCCTGGTGTCTTTGCCTTCTCATCGAGCACATTGAGCTCCTGGTGGAGTTGCCGCCTCTCCTCTTTATCCTGCTCTTTCTTCAACATCCCCTTCTGCTTGTCCCCTTCTCTTTCTCCGTCTCTCCTCTTCTGCTTTTCCAACTTTTGATGTCTGTCTTCCGTCTCTGCCCGTCTGTCCCCTCTGTCATACTCCTGCGGACGTAAATTGATAAGGGAGAGACATAAGAGGGGAATGACGGACAAATAACAGCGACAGGGGAAGAAGAGCGGACGTTTGGGGTGAAGTGGAGTGACTCTACCTTGAGAGATATGTATTCATCAGGTGCCTGTTCACTGCACTCATTGGCATCAGTCATGGCGGGGGGAGGTGTAGGGAAATCAGAACTAGACGCTCTGTCTTTGGTGTGAACGGCCTTGGTGCTGCTCCTGCTCGGGACTATGTGTGGGGGGGGAAAGCAGATTGTATATCAGATAAAATTTTTGCTATCCCAATTTTTTCCCCCCCAATAAACCGACAGTCAGGCCTTACTTTTCCGCTTTGCGCCACTGTCGACATCTTTTCTCAGTGCTGGCTTCATCATGCGATTGGCATAAATGTTCTTAGCATCTAGTTCTCTCTCCTTCTCCTGATAAGAAAAGGATACAACAAAGTGAACATTTCATACAATGCTGCTTTTCATACACAATCATAAAGATAGTTTGTCTCAGCTGGTATTCTGAGGTATATTTTTGTTATACATGGACCTTGAGTTTATTGTTCAGTCGTTCCAGCTCCTCCTGCAGAGTCCTGATCTCCTCCTGGGCACTGATCGTCTTCTTCCTCTCTGCAGCCAGCTGCCTCTGGTAACTGCTGTTGCTCAGCTCCATGCTACGCTCCAGCTCCTTCAAACACACACAGGTAAACAAATACACTTTCCAGCTACCGCGTGACAAAAAGGAACTAAATGATCTTGAGATAAAAAAATCCAAAAAGGTACAGATTTTGCCATAAATGATTTATGTTTTATTTAATAGATGCAAGCGATTGTTTATCTAGCTTTAGTATAAATAAATGTACCTTAATCTTGTGTTCTGCCTCTTGGGCCCGTGTCTTCTCTTCATCTAGCCTGCGGCTCAGCTCGTCTCTGGCTCCTAGATCTCGCTGGTCGACCAGCTTCTTCAGCCGCGCGATCGTCGCCTGACTCCTTTGCAGCTGCTCCTCGCTGTCCTTCATCCGGCGCTCGGCTGCCCGCTCCCGCTCCTGAGCGCGCCGGAGCCGCTCGCGCAGCACCTGGGTCTCGTTGGTGTGGCGCGACAGTAGCTGGGATATCTCGCTTTCTGTGTCGTCGTAGCGCTGCAGGGCTTTCTCTTGACGCACCTGAAGCTGCAGCACGCAAAAGAGACACTATTACATTTTTTAGGATGCCACAGGAGTTCAAGATAATGGTGAAGAACTTTACGGTAAAAGATTATGTGATTGGTTTTTCTGCAAAGATGTGTGTTAATGTCTTCCTATCAGTATTGGCCACTAAAATCTGATGCTTAATTAGGATTTTCCACCTTTCTTACGTCTCAACCCAAACTTAACTAGAAGGGTGGATCTACCTGTCTGAGAACTCGATTTTCCTTCTGCAGCTCCTCGGTGCGCTGTTGCAGCTCAGCAAGGGAGTTACGCAATTCATTGATCTTTAGCAGGCGGGCTGAAAGCATCCTCTTGGTCACCAGGTCCAGGTCTTTCGGGGGCGTGGACTCCTTGCTTTGTGAACGCACTCCCCTGCGATGCTGCTGGGTCAGAGGCTGGCCACCTGGACGCTGTGGGCGCGACACACCCCGGCGCCCCAAGCCACCTGCACGGTAGAGAAACACACAACATGTAGAACATATTAAACGGTAGAGGCTTAAGACAAAAATCTGTATCAAACTATGTCTGTGTTGTTAAGAGCTATGGAACTTCATTACGAACAATTAAAGTAAAAAAAGTGCCTTCATGAAAGAGGATTTTTGTCCTGCAGAAAACCACCATGTGTAAAAGTCTGCCTAACACTGCCACCACCTGGACAGTAAATACAACGGCCTTGCTTTATATACCTGTCTTGTAGAAGGGGCTGTTGGAAATCCTCTTTGATCGCACCCCTCTTTGAGGGGTAAGGGATGGAGTCCGGGACTGGGAGTATGGTGAGATTGAGCGGCCCGAAGGAGTCTCGTTCTCATAGTCCTCCGAGTAAAATGATCCGGTACTTCTCCGTCCCTCTCCATCTGATATCTGGTCCCGATCTGGATCTGAAGGCCAGGTTCTGGTTTTCGATCTGCTCTCGACACAGACTTCTTTTTCACCGTCACCCCGGATCTTGTCCCGGATGATGTTTTTGTGCTTTTGGAAGGACGATGCTCGGGAATCTTTCTTTGTGCTCCGGAGTGACTGGCGACTTTGATCAACATCCCGGTTGTCTTCGTACGGATCAGTTACGTTTTCAGATTCCATGATGTCACTTTGAGAAGAAATGCTGTGTTGAATTTGAAGACAAAAATTCAGAAAGAAATGTATCAAACTTACAGTAAAAGTCTCCTGATGTCAACATTTGTATTGTGCTACCAGATGAAAAATCTCGGGGCCAACTGGTTTCTCTGAGGTTTTCTGTTCTGTGTGTCTTGGTCACTAAGCGACAACACACATGAGGTGGAAATTTCCATGCGGCTGAATGATGATATGGAAATTTCCATGCGGCTGAATGATGTATGATATCACTACTCAACACCAGTGCTGCTACATACCAATTAGTAGCCTGCCCCCATCTGCCCTGGTGACTTATTAAACATACAGTGTATTATTTCTGAGTGCAATAAGATGCATGCGCACATACCTGGTCAAAGAACACAGAAAAAGAAGAGGAAAAAAAAGTGTTCAGGTGTTCTCACCTGATATTTTAATTATGTAGTAGTGTTGCATGTTATATTCATGTTGTACACATACAGTATATATATTATGTATTCTTGAATATTTTGCCATACATATACTGTATCAAATGTAGAATTCTTGACAATATTTTGTGAGTAACTGTATTTGTATTTATTTTTATTGGAATACGCCTGGATGTACAGTAGTATAAACATCAGTATCTTTACACTCACCACATAGGTTACATTATCCCCATCATCTCTGTTGGCACCATCGTCCACATCTTCTGCTTTATCGTATGTCTTACTGTCTCCTGATAACGCAATAAACGAGAAAACGTATGCAGTCAAGTCACAAGCTCTCAAATGAAACAAATATACAATCAGAAGCGTGTTCTCAAATACTTACTATAGCGATACTACTAGAGTCCCCCTCTCCGTGACTCTTGACAGATTGGATTAAAGTAGACCGTCTGCTGTTGACAGTCGCATTGTCGTGACACTGCCTGCCACTTAAAAGCTACAATGTGGCTAACTAGTAAGTTATGTGAGGCCAACCACACACCTCAGTGGGCTTTATATTCACATGCAACATTATCAAATAGACATGAATAAAAGAGACGAGTAGGTGAGGTTTCAAACAGCATGTCAGCGCACTGGCGTTAGTTAAAGTGGACGGACTTGTTGACGATAGCTTATTATGCTAGCATAGCAACAAAACAAACTAGCTTCCCTCAACAGGTGGAATGTGTTTTAATGTTACTGCTCTGTGTCTGCTGGCACCAACCTGTCCGTTGTGCGCGTTTATCATTTTAAATCGTCCTGCCTTTCTCTGGTTTACGTTTAAAGTATGTCGCAATTAACTCGATAGGCTAATGTTAGCAACATAACGACTCAACTAGTTAGCTGCTATCACGCTAACGCTAGCATGAAGTTAAGCTAATTTAGCTATACCGTTAGCTAAAAGAAGGCATAGACGTTCGCCTTTTAGGAAACAGCCATGACTATCTTTTAAAAAATTCGCTGCCCTGTTATTATTCACAGTAAAACAGGAATAAGTCGTAATCCTGACTGTCAGAAGCATTCAGATACGATTATTTTGTGGTTCACGACAAGCCTGGTGGTTTGCTCCAGTCCTACCGCTGACGCCGTACCATGGCAACCACAGCACTCCGTGCAGGTGCAGTACCCCTTTAATACCAGGGTGGCGCTGTGGTGCACGCTGTGATATAAATATAGCTATCTGTTTATTCTAGCATTGTGTTAATTAAGGAGAACGTTGGAATAACATACCTACCAACGCATATTATGTGCTTAGTCCTTGTGTCATAAAGCACTGTTATCTAGCCAACTGATAGGACATGGTTTCTTACTCTTGTTGTGCAATGCATATTTAAATTGTGTTTTTAGGATGTGTGCATACACAATGTCTGTCACTTCAGCAGCATTTGCTTGGCGTTTGAGATATATGTCATGCCGTATATGCTACCTAACTATGACACCAAAGTCTAAAATTGTATTCACAGCTGTTGTTAATGTCTTCATGCTGTGCCATGCATATTGTGCCTGTTTTAAAAACAAATTATCTGTGTATATACAAAGTCTGTCAGTTATTTTATTGGCTGCAATATGTATTGTAAGATACAAGCACATGAGAGGGCAAGTGCAGCTTGATCTGGATCCACACCACAAACTGACAGAGCACATACTTATTAAATTCACCCAATTTGAATGAAATTTGATATGCTGCTAAGTGACAAACGGTGGTGTCAAGTTGCCAGGTTTAACCACAGTCAAGCAGAAGTAAAAATGTTTTTTACTTTCGAAAGAAACGTGATTTTTTTTTAAATAATAATGCATTGTGCTTGTTTAGGGAAAACAAATCTGGGTTATTCACTTAAAAGCACATGCAGACTTTGAATGATGTCATTTAGACCTCATATTTGGTCCATACTATACAAATTTAATAAAATTATTATGGATGAGCTGTGCAATATTGTGTACAATCACTTTTGTTCTTGTCTACGGGAACTGTTTTTATTTTATTTTGAAGACTATGACCGGAAGTCCAGTGTTTTCTGTGATGTCTGCGTTGCATCTATGCAGTGAGAGTCCTTGAGCGCCTCAGCCTGCAGACGCGCATGCTGTGTTATTTATCATGGCTCAGTTTAAATACTGGAGACGCGTGTCTTCTCCCTTCTAAAACACAGTCGGTAGTTGAACTTCATCTTTTGTGTGTGGCAATAATCACTGCCTGTTGCCACCCACTAGTTTGTTTGTCGACTCGTAGTATTTAGGATTAAAATGGTCATCAAGGTTTACATCGCCTCCTCAACCGGCTCGCGAGCGGTGAGTGTTTTGCAAATGTGTTTTCAAGCCTGTTGACAGTTGTATACGAGGTATGCAGGCATATCAAAAAGGCATGTGGAAATATTTCTGCTCGCCCAAGAGTGTTGGAGATATTGACAATATCTGTGAGTGTGCCTGTGTGTGATTTAAGTATGTTCACAATCAGTGAGAGTAATCAGCATCATTCAGACAGGAAGAAAGATTGTTCACTAAGTAATACGCACATTTTTAATTTCCAGTGTTGATTTATTTTGTGTTCTAGGAAATGCATACGTCAATTCAGCCTGTTGCATTTTTGTTAGATGCATTTTCAACAAATAGTTTATATTTTTCACTGTATTAGGCCTTCATATAGAAGCGTAATGAATAACAACATATTATAAAACGTCTCCCTCCAGAACAAAGTACGTGTTTAGTGTGCAAACATTAACCTGACCTACATTAACTATGACCTATAAAACGATAGATTCAATGTCTATTGTTCGTAATGTTGTTAGATTCGCAAACAGTATTTACAGCAGATTTGTGTTGCGTGACAGGAGATCCACCAATAATGATCACATGGGTATTTTACTTTGAAGACATCATCAGGAGATGCACCTCTGGAACAAACTTCCTGTCCTTTTGTTGGGGTAACCTCCACTCTTATCTGTGTTGTGAGATGTTTACTTTCCACTTTGTTCCCCTCCTGAGTGATTTTAGGGTGGGGTTCCTGCAACTGAGCAGCAGTAGTATGCTGAAGAGTTTACTGGAAATACACTAGACGGATTTATGACAGTATACTTAATTAAAAGACCATTTACTGTGGATATTGTGTAGTCGATCAACAGATAATTCCAGCTTCTCGCATGTGAGCTTATTTTTTAATCATTGTATATGATTTGGTTTTGGACTGATAGTCAGACAAGAAAGTTAAATGTTTCACTTTGAGCTATGAAAAATAGCTTTTTGCAACTCTTTTCTAACATCTAATAGACTTGGCAATGAATGGGCTAAACCAAAAAAAAAAAATACTGTACAGATTAGTCAATAATGGAAGTAATCGTTAGTCCCAGCCCTAGTGCTGTAGTGTCTATTGGGAAACAACAGGCGCATGCCGTTGAGAAGGCCCAGATGATATTGAGTACTGGCAGAAAATCATCAATCAACACTCCTCTGTGAATGCTTCAAGTCCTAGGTAATGGGGGAAATGAGTAATATGTTTACTTTACCGTGCTCCATCTCTAGAAGAGGGCAGTGAAATTAGTAAGAGCGTAGTTATTTTTAACCCTATGACACGTACATTCAAAACACACAGACTCTCTCACGTACACGAAGAACAGTCATGCACGCCAGAATAGGTCGACCATTTGGCTCAGTTATGCGAGTGTTGAGCTCATGTGAATGTGATTTACTGTGAATGCTTTTAAATTGAGTTGCAAATCATTGAATTAAGAGAGAAGGTGAGACTGATTTCAAGTGAAATGGATCTGTGTGTGTGTGTGTGTGTGTGTGTGTGTGTGTGTGTGTGTGTGATTGAAAAACAAAGAGAGAGATAGTAGTGTGAGATTCGATATGCAGGGAGACAGTGAAGATAGTGAAGTCAGGAGATGGAAATCTGAAAATATGTGCGACTCAAGCAGGAATACATGTGCAGAATCAAGGGAAGAGTAATTATCGAAATGCTACATAAAATGAGCATTTCGCAGTTTAGCAACAGCAGATTAGTGGGGCGGAGATCATCACCACAGAGTGAATGAAGTGTAAATTAGGTTACCCCCCGTGAACATGTATCAGGTTCAGTCTCATCCGTTTTTTGTTGTTCTAATTCCTAATGCCCCAGTAATTATCATGAATGTAGTTTTTAATAATTGCAAATACTACCATGTGTCCTCACATTATCTGACCAAATGACCTGCTTAGAAAGCATTGCAATCCCTCCTCTTGACAAATAATGTGCAAAGTTGAAAATTGTTTTTAGTGGTAATGTTTTGTTTTCAGATTCTTTTTGTTTTTCTTTGTTCCTCAGGGTAGGCGAAACGTATGTATTTATTTATATCCAAAATCCTCTCTTTTGCCCGTGTCCCTCTCAGTCCGTGACTGATGGATTAGTCTGGACATCCAATTAATCCCTACATTTCAGAAAGTGCTCTCAAACAATGCATGCATACTCGTAGACTGTAATACGAGTGTTTGTTTAGGAGTGTAATTTGTGTATTTGTCTCTAATCCTACAGGCACACCAAAATCTGAACTCATCCATCCCCTGACACACACTCTCACTCACCCTCACAGGGGGGGACCTCTTTCATTATTTAGTCTGCCCGCTTTTCAGCTCAGGGGAAGCTCGTATAATTTGTACTTTGCATCACATAGACGCAGACCAGTCATTCTCTATGGAGTCTTGACCTTTGACCAGAGCAAACGGACACATTTGTCTCTGTAAAGACAGTCAGTAAACATCCAATTCATTTACTCTCTTGCGAGAGTCCAGATAACCCTGTTTTATGGCCACACAAAGGAAATCACCATTAGAAAGAAGACACAACAGATTATCTTGTTTGGGTGTTTGTGTCTGTAACAGACGGTCCAGAACAATCTCTCACTGTCTTTAAGGTAAAACAATAGCCCCATTGTGGCCCTGAGCATCACTAACATTTTGGACAGACATAACGTGTACACACACACACACACACACACACAAGCACATATCATTAAGTCATTATCTAATTCATCTTATGCATCACAGACAGAATTCCTAGAAACATGTTTCCAGGGTATCGATAATACATGATCATTTAGCCACAAAATATAAGGCCTTGTCTATATTTGTCCACACTGTCTCATCCCCAGAATGTTTTGAATAATCAGCCCTTTTGTCATGTTAATGAAAGCTCAAGCATACATACTGTATTGGCTGAATTTGCATCACAGCGGTGGACCGCAGGACATGATAAAAATTTTGACAAAACAGAATGAATGAACAAAGTGGGTGTTGTTGCAAGTGGGAAACATTAAGGGATGATTAATGGAATGATTTCGGTGCTCTAAAAAAACATAGAATAGTTGGAATTTAGAAATAACACAAGCTAGATGTGAATGAAAAAGATCAGTTGAAAAAAAAGGCAAAATACTGTTGCAATTAGGTCAACTTCTAAGCTAATTGAGCAAATCCCGATCATCATTCTCATCATATAACTCCAAGACATGTGGACTGTGCCTCTGTGTTTACGACTTTCAATTCCGTGGGAGTTTTCTGTCATCTAAAATGATCCTGGTATTTCATTTTTTTCTCTCAGCATGTCATGCGCTTTCATTCCCTCGCAGAACGTCCCAGAGCACGTCCAGGGATAATACCACAGGGATCTGTGTCGTATCCGTCCCATGGAACACAAATGGGAAAAGCTCATTGCATGGTCTTCCCTCTTTAGTGAACACTTAGTCGTGTGCCTGGGAAGTACACAAAGTACACACAGCTGCAGAAACGATGTATTCACCAATAGATGATTATGTTTATTTCATTGAAATATAGTACTGTTTTGATGTGCCCTCAGGTCATAGCATATGATGCTGTATAGGACAATTATGTCAGCTCTCCGACTTTAAACATAATCTCATCCGCTAATCAATAATCCTTCTTAATGTCCCCATTACCAAAGGAGTCGCTACGCAGTGAATACATACAGTACACTCCACGTGTGTGTTCCCTGGTTTGATGGGTGTCATTCTACCGTTTGTCAATTAGTGTTTTAAACACCCAACTGCTTGGCCAAGAGCAATATAAAGAGAGAGTGAAAGGCCATACACATACACACAGTGACCAGCTGTACTTTATGTACATGATGGCAATATGACATTATGCATACGTGGTTGTACATTTCTCACCACCTCACCACCTCTCCCTAACCAACCGTCCTTCACTCAACCCTCTTTCTTTCTTTTATCCATTTTTGACCTGTTCCAGGTAAAAAAGCACCAGCAGGCAGTGGTGGGTTTCTTGGAGGCCAATCGGATCAGCTTCCAGGAAGTAGACATCACCATGCTGGAGGAGCAGAGGCTCTGGATGTACCGAAACATCCCCAGAGACAAGCAGCCGGAGAAAGGCAACCCACTGCTTCCACAGATATTCAACGAGGATCGCTACTGTGGGGTACGATGGATGCTTGTCTCTAATTTTAATAATGAGCAATCAACCATTTGGAACGCATTCTGGCTTCCAGTCATTTTGCACATCTGATCTTTAAAGGTAGCCCTAACATGTGAACATGTCACTGATTCGCATGATGCACATACTGATGGAATGTGAGATACAGCCTGTGGATCCGCTTATCAAAACATTGAGGTACAGGGACACTAGTGGTGAAAATCTACAGAAGGTACCTTTTAAGTCGGCCAAAATCACATTTCATCGGACACATTTATGACACTTAGTGCAAATAAGTCATCCAAAAAATTGCTGCATTTTATAGGAAGAAAAAAAGAGACATTTTGAAACAAAAAATACAAAAAAGTGTACATTGTTTTGACATATATTTAGCATATAACAAAAGATTACAGAACACTAAACATAGGAATACAGGGTTAGAATGTATTTGAATGATTGTTAATGCTCAAGCTGGTTATGCACAACAGGTCACATGAGTCTAAGTCGGTACAAAGTTGAGCTACCTATGCTGGTGAATGAGTTCGATCCGTCAGTGCTTGCCAGTTTATGTCCTCCACTGATCGTGCACGCCACTCTGTAATCCTGTTGTAATCCAGTTTCATGGGTGGGGCAGATTATCTGATCGGCTTGCCGTCACTCTCACTGGCCAAGGTAATCCAACGTTACTCTGCTATGTCATGACAACTGAATCGTATTAAAAGCAGAAGAGGAGGAACTGTTTGACAGGGATGTTTACAACCATCTTTCAAACATAGAGATTATGTAACATTCTCATGTTTTTGTCTTCCCCCTCAGGACTATGAAGACTTCTTCCAGTCAAAGGAGGACAACACTGTGTTCACATTCCTTGGGCTCAGTTCCCAACCCTCGGTGAAAGTAAGGGAGGCTATGCACTAAAACACACCGTTGCCTCTGTGGGATAAATCATACAGCCAACAAGATTTGCTGTCAGGTCTCAGTTTTCGCCACAGTGTTGGATCAGCAGCTGTAGTTTCTGCAAGCTGCCTCTGAAATGTCTGATTTATAATTTATTAGCATTTCATGCACATCAGCTTTTTTTTTTGATGGGAAAAGGAAGTCAGTTAAAAGAGATCTGATTAGGCGTAAACCGGCAGGATATTGCAGATACATTCAGTGTGGTCATGTTACATGTCTAGCAGAATTGTCTCGCTATATAGCATGTGTGCAGAATGTATGAATGCAGATGACAGTTGTTCAATCTCTCTTCCCCTTCTCCCCCAATAGGATTCTGAGTCATAGCCGAGGTCAAACCGCTGGTACATGACGTCCCGGGAACCTTAAAATATGAAGATGAAAACCGCATGGCTTCCTGTGTTGTATCACCTCTTCTCACGTGTTCCTCCTGCTCCAGCATCTTGCCAAACATCAGACCCCACGGATTTCCACCTGTGTGACCTCTCCTGACTCGTTAATCACTCCAATCACTCTAGTCTCCAAGAAATGTCTGATTCTCCAGATAGACTTAATCACAGAAGAAGGGGATTGACTTCATGATGGATGCATTTGTGTTTACGTTTCAGGTTTAATACACTGTGACAGCAAGCGCCGGCAGTGGCATCAATTCTGTGCACATTAGATGTAGCAGCTTTTGCATCGGTAGACCAGCTGCTTTAGGTCAATGTACAATGCAGTGAATGGGGAAAGAACTAAGAACTAGCACACAAGTCTCCTGAATACACACCTATGACCTTTATTGTGTGTGTATATGCCTTAGTATGTGTATGAGTGTGTGTCTGTTTCAATCAATAGCTGTTAAGGAAGGATGTGTTAACTAAGAGCAACCTGAAATAACTGTGCGTGTGTGTGTACATGTGTGGGAGTGAGGATGCTTTCTCAAAGGTGACAGTGACAATGTTTGTCATCTAAAGTAGATGACACCAAATGCTAAGAATCCTAAATCATATGAGGGATGGACATGATACCTAATATCATTGCCAGCCTTCATGTTAAGTATTTATTCACTGTCATCAAAAGAAACCTTATACTTGTATCATTCCACTGCCAAACTACTTTGATTAAAGGACTGGGTGGCAGTTATTATATGTTTTGTTTTTATATCTTATAGTCTAGAAATCCAATAAAAAGATCCAAACCAACAATGTGTCAGTCTCTTACGTTCTGACTTCCATAACCTGTCTGTGGCACTCAGCCCATAAGTCTTTTTAAATAGGATTCAATTATATAGTTTCATGTCTTAAAAGGCCAATTAGTTCCCTATAACAGCAGGGCACTGTAGTTTTTAGCAAATGTTACTCAAACAGGAGTAAATAGCACATTTGTAGAGACTATTTTAAGCTGTGGAATATTACACATGTGGTGCTCTAATGAGTATTTACAGCAGCAGGACGGTGTTTGTGGGATTGACTCAAAATAAACTACAGTGCCCAGGTTTCAAATAATGAAGGAAGATGGATCAATTAATTGTTGGTTTTGGTATTTTCATGGGATTTGTTGACAGCATGAAAAACAGTGCCAGCTTTATCCTCTAATCCAGGCCGCTGTAGACAAAGCATGGTTACAATCACGGTCACATGAGTCATAGGGATGCACTTCCCAGATTACTACTCCGAAGTCCTATCAGACAGAGGACAGGAGATAAGAAATTATAGCTTATTTTTCAGAGATAATCAAGTTACAAAGCTCTGCACAGACAGACCTCAACTCTGCTTCCCCTGCTGTCTCCCCTTCTCTGTATATATTTCCTAGTGGCTGAGTAAACAGATGCTGAAATGTGAGCACACTGCCCTCCTGAAATGAACATAGGTTGACACATCATGGCCAACCTGCCGACACGTCCTCCAATCTGTATTCTCCGTCCCAAACATCAACAATAAGCATGTCTCTCGTCCTTATTAAATTGTCATGGGTGGGTGGTTAACTAATTCCTTTATGTTTACACATGAAGGCCACGCACAAACAGATGCACCCTCACTAGCCATTCTTCCCTAAATGTTGTGCCATCATGTGAAAGGATGTCATTTGTACTTATTTGAAATAATGTAGGGGGCATCAATGTACTAACGACAAGTTGTGTCCTTGTGTTGTGAAATAATGTGTTGTGACTTTGTTGCGATTTTTCTGTGAACGGATAGAAACAAGCCCTTTGGACTGACTAAATGTACTGAATGTAATGTAAGGTATGTTTCACCTCCCTCCGTGACTCTGTCGTGCTTTATTGCAGCATTTTTCCGTTTGCAACAGGGTTGTGAGAGTTATACTCAACGCCATTTAAAAGCATGCAATTTTCTAAGTAAATTTGCCTCAGTATTTTTCATATGGTCATGTCATACTACAACAAAGAACATTAGTGCTACACACTAAAGTGGAAGGCCTATTTGTCAATCTTAATCCCTTTTGTAGAGGTGGTGAGGAGTTGTTTTATGTGATGCAGAAATCCTGTACTGGCAACTGAACGCAAAATGTGGTCAGCACATATTTGAGTTGTTTATCTGGTGTCATACATACAGAGTCACAATAAACTGGATTATGTGCAGAGATTGTGACTGGATAAGGAAAGTGGACTGAAAGACTCCAGAGACAGGCGAAGGTGGAAACACAAGAAGACAACCAAGCAGAGAATATGTGTGAGGAGGTCACTGTACATACAGGGGTCGAGCTAATGGGGATAGCTCATGAGGAAGGAGGTTGAGAAGCTGAACTCTAATCTTACATCAGTATATACAATCCACCGTGCCTTTACAGTGACTAACTAATAAAAACACTCAACACCCGTATCTCTCTGAATAGAGTAACTGCGTTAAAGCTTTTTAACCCACTTCTAAAAAGTTTCTTGCTTTTCAATACCAAAAACATAAACGTAGCAATTGTAAAGTTCACCTGTTTCTCCTTTGCGCTGTTGTAATTTAATCCAAAGAAATTGAACTGAGATTTGCTCATTAACTTGCCTTTGAACTTGTGGGACGGTCATCCTGCTTGTGACGTGATCGCCCTTGTCAGTCAGGTTTTCATTGGCCCCTTTCCCCGGATGAGTTGTATGGTAATTTCCCATCAGAGAATGATGCAAATCTTTGTGTCTGTAATGATTTACCCAGACATCAATATGTGCTTAACCTGCTGTCCAAACCTCAGTATCATCAGTTCTGTCATTAGAGAATCCTGATTGAAGACGGAGGTCACTGTGTCACTATTTTAGAGTCTTTTATTCTAAAGTCTTGAGGAGACAAGTAGGTAAGTGAACAGATGAACAGGGACACCTGAGTAGAACAGAGTCATCGTTAATGTCGTTAGTAAAAACCTGTGGCTTTTCTTACTTTGACAAGTCAAAGGGTTGCTGTAAAAAATGCTGTTTGGCTTAAAATAACACAACTCAAAATGCTCATCAACGAACAGCTCAATATCCCTCCACAGTTCTATGAGAGCGTTTCTCTTCTCCTTTAGAAGATAAAAAATACTTGATTGTGTATTGTGCATACAGTATGTGGAAAACAAAGGAGTTGTTTGCTAGTTAAGATGTGAATGAGCATGTACGGGATGTACTTGAACTAAAGTGACAAAACTACAGCATCAAGAGGGTGTTTGAGGACATATTGTGAAATGGTGACAGGATGCAAATTCACTATGTGTGCAAACTGATGGCCAAACACAGCAACCCAAAATGCTGAATAGACAAGTCAGTTATGCAACATCACGTACAGACTCATGAAATTGTACAGTAAGAACAAAATGTCAGGAAAACTAACTGAAGCTTAAACCACATAAAAACATTTAAAATACATTCATTGACACAAATGATCAAAACAGATAGGTATAACCATGGCCAACAGATAACAATAGCTATATTATACTTGCTGTGAATGTCATTTATTACATTGTATTAGTCTGACAGGGAGAGTGCTTAATGATCAATAGAAAAATATATATAAATGAGCCAGAGTTAGCCCAAAAGTTGCTGCTCTCTTTTGCTAGATGTTAAAAAGATATCTTAACAGTAGAAAAAAACTACATGTGTTGCATAATTAATGTACATAACACAATAAATATACGCAAAATAGTACAGTACACATCACCAATAAAAAACACACAGTATAACACATGGTACTTGTCTAGAAATAAAAATACAGCAGTAGTTAATGGGTGAAAGTATGCCATTTATTTATACTGAAATATGAACTCATTCCTTGAAATTATTAATTTTGGGTCTGGCTGT